CAAAAAATAATTATTTATTTTTCCCTTGTGCATGTTCAAAGTTTGTGACTTTTTAGGGTTTCTTAGGTTTTCTTTTGATCCTTTCAATTGATTCCTTTGATTACTTTTGCTTGTATGAACCTCACTTGATGTGTGAATTTGGATACCCTTGTTGTTACATGTTGGTTATTACCTTTTCAAGTTCATGTTCATATGTGAATGCATGATTGAATATCATAAAACCTTGGTTGTTACCTCTACCTTTATCCATGCTTAAATATTGTTATGATCTATGCATGTTGATCTTTGAACTTTGCCATGATAAGTAATGTTTTAACTTATGCATGATTCACTTGTCATCTATGATATTTGGTCTTGTAAGAACCTTATTTCATGGCCATTTAGATGTTGTAACATCTATGTTTACCTTTGGTTGTAACAATTTGGTTTGATTCTAAACTTTTATGATGAATATCTGGTTATAACCTTGTTATTTGTTTTGCTTAATGTTGTCACATGCTTGCTTTACTTTCTCGGTTGTTACCATGATTTTATATCTTCATCGTGTTTGAATAAATATATATGTATGCTTAAGCCTTGATAATTTCCCCCAAGTGATGTAGCTTGTTAGCTCTCATCAAAGGGCTGCCTTGTGTTTCTAATTCCAAAGGAAAGTATCTCTATTGACTCAATGTCATAGATAGCTCATTTTATTCTTAAACTTCCCTTTGACCTTGTTAGAGTCATTAGGACTTTCAACTTAGTCTTAAGTTAGAACCTACATTCTTTTGACTTTGTCAAGTCAATACCTTCAGCACACCTTGTTAAGAATCCTATAACTTAGAGCTTAGGCCTTGAGTTTGTTAACTCTATGTGTGTACCATGGTTATGGGTACTCACTTTTCCCCTTTTGACTTTTGTTAAAGTCAAACCCCCAGTTAGTCTTTCAACATAGACTTAGAGAGTTTGTTAACTATATATAAGTATTATTGTTATGGATGCTTATTCCCCTTGAGCCTTGACCATAGTCAAGAGTTCTCTCCCTAGTTAGGAGAACTGCGGTTGCTCTGATTCCATCCTTGTTAGGATATGTAGGCACGAGATGCAACGTATTGGCGAGCATACTTAGTGTATATACCCATAGGAATTTACCCTAGCACATAACCATTAGCAGACAAACATTAATACAAACACAACTACTAAACAAGAGGCTCCTGTAGAATACTATAGATACTTAGGGTGATAATACCTTCCCTTAGTATAACCAACCCCTGAACCCCTCGATCTCTTAGCTTCATTTTTGCGTAGCGCACTTAGTATTTTCTTCGATCTATACCCTTTCCTTTGGATAAATCAAAGCTCGGTGGTGAATATTTAAAGATTTATGGTTCAAGTTAATTAATAGCTTGATATCCTATTCCCATCGCAACAACTATCCTACCGCCTGCAATGCTATAGAGAAAGCTGATGCCCTTAGTGGATAACTCAACCTCGGGATTCATAATACCCAACTGCTCCACGACGTTATTAAAGGCTTCCTCGGTAATGGCCAGACAATCATCCTCGGCCTGGGTAATGCGTTTGACCAGTTCCGCTCGAGTAGTCAGCTTCTTCACATCCTCGTTTTCACCCTTAGCAAGGGCAGCAACGGCTCTCAGTTGCTCGACTAGATCCTCGACATCTTTCTTTTTGGAAGCAAGGACATCCTTCTCCGCGGAAATCTCTTCCTGACACTTTTTAACAGCCTCCTCGATGGCCCTTGCCTGCTCCTCCTGGGACATTTTAGCCTTCTCTTCCAGGTCCGCCACCGCAACATGGGCTTTCTTCAGCTCAAATTTGTGTTGGGAACCCTCCTCGGTGTAGACCACCACCATCTCCAGAATCCTCATTAAAGTGGAAGAATCTTGAGCGAGCATAGTCCTTTTGCTCGGACGATCCATCTCCTTGAGTTTTAGGGACTCCGCTCGAGTAATTGCCAAAGAAGAACCCTCGAAGAACCTCTTGTTATGCTGGCACCAGGGCAGTTTGAACATGTTCTTCTCTCTTTCCCTGATGAGACCCAAAATCTCATTCGCATGTGTACTTTTAAGCCTCGAGCTCACAGGCAAGGGCAAAGACTGGACGTCTGGTGGGGTGGACGAGGAGGTCCCCGACCTGGTCTGAGGAGGAGGCGCTCGCTGGCTGAGACAACTCTTCCCAATCGTTATGCCTCCCTTTATTTTACCCCGAGCATTCTTCACCATTCGCTTCTGAGCGGAAGACATATCACCTAGAAAACAATGGACTTATTAATACACAAAGAAAGGAACAACTTGGGTAAACTAAGAGGAAATAAAAGACTACCCAAAAGTTCTAAAGCCCCCGCACGAGTGCTACACTTGAGGAGATCTTTCACGTTAATGTATCGGGCCTCCACCTGAGGTCCCCCATCTTCCTCGTAAATAATCCTCCCAGAACGGGTCACACACTAGGAAGGGATAAATTCGTCCATAAAAGCCACCAGCTTGGCATAGCTAGCTCAGTCATCATCCCCCAGATGATGAGGAGTGGCGATATATTTTTCAGTTGGGCGGGTAAAACGGGCCCTGCTCCAACAAAAGGGAAACTTAAATAGACTCCATGCAAGCACCTTGCCATGCTCGTCAACTAAGGCTTCCTCGTCTTCGTCCGTCGAGACCTCTCAGACAAAAGTTAAGTCAGCGGGTTTCTCCGACACGGGCTCAATAACATAAAACCTTTCTTTGAAAGTCCAAATGGACTCAAAAAAAGGTTTGAACAATTTTCTCTCCTGTTTCAGGGAGACCCAACCGAATTTCCTCCTCGAGACCTATCGCTAAAGGTGGAAGACAGTGAAGAAGAGGGGGAGAGTAGCTTCAATCTCCAAATACTCACATACCAGCTCGAATGCCCGTATAAAGGCAATCGAGTTCGGGTGCAACTGAAAAGGCGCTAGGTCTAGGGGCACAAAGACGGCCCTCTAAAATTCCAAAAAGGGCAACCTCAACCCTATCTCCTTGAAAACGTATTGGTACATGGGGAACTTCTCCCCGTACGACAAGCAGATACAATCGTCTTCTTTGGGGAAGTGTAACTTCCAATCTTCTTCGGCTCCTGCTGACGTGAAGGCATCCCCGGTGTAAGAGGCGAAAAGGGAGGTGTGCTCCCCAGGCTCGGCCACAGCCTATTCCTCTGTGATGGTCCTCAAAACGGGCACTTCCCTAGCATCCTGAGGCGTGGAAGTGTCATTGGTCTCAGTATCTTCCGAGGAGCTCTCCTCGGACAAATCTATCAAGGTCTCTTCTTTAGCTTCGTGCGACATCTCCTTTACCTGAAAAGCAGAGGATAAAAGTGAATTCGATGACAGAATCAAATCCACCCTTCCGTCGCTAGTCAAGTGAAAGGGCGCTCGAAGGCCCGAAGACAATGTCCTCGACCTAAGCCCTAATCAAATGGCACAATCAACAAACGAGGAGATGCCCAGACCAATCTCCCTGACACGCTCGGGGAAAAGCTCCCTTGATACAGAACCCAAAATTTCTGTCGGGAAACCACCGAAAAGCTCATAAGCACACCGGAAATCCTTGGTTCCCACCAGCGACGAACGCTTCTGTGTTGCAGGAAAATGAGGATCAACTAAAAATCCAAAGCTTCTAAAAAGCTCTGGTGATGCCGGCAGTAGAAGAAAGTGGCCAAACCACCATCTGCCACCAACAACCACCCGAAAACAGCCCCTAAGCTACTTCACTATGACCCTAACCACATGAGTTCTAAGAAGCAGGAAATAATAAAACCTATAACAAGAGAGCAGTTCAGGTACTTATGTGGTCGAGAACGAGATTCTAGGGTCGAACGACTCTGGCCGATGAATGTACGACGGTCAGATGAAACTAGACGGCGGCGGACAACAGAGTGCAAAGACAGAGAGCAAGAGTAGAGAGAAGCGAAAAGTGCAAATAAACACCTTCTCACTCTATTTATAGACAATCCATGGCACGTGCACGAGCACGCGCGGCTAGAGACATCATCATGATCCTAGCCTAGCCATCATTACGCATTAAATGCGACACACGGATCGAGACACGCGTGGCACTTTACCTCTTCAGATACCATCAACCTTTAGTCTCCCTGTACCTCGAGCTCTCCCAACAAGCAGCGTTACAGGTCCCCGTGAACAGATTCCATCGGGCACCAAGTAACAGCCTCATCTCTGCAACAATCGATGGGCTTGCCCGGAGTGCGAATTGTCCTTAAGTCATCACTCCCATGCTCGGAAGCAACGACTTAGGGGATACTGTTCTGGACTGGCCCAATGGCTAGGCATGGCCCAATCCACTTCTGATCATATAACGACCCAATTTCCTAAGTCCAACCAATTTGGGGAAGCATTTACCTTCCTGCCTCTCCATCAGGGGAGGTTGACCGATTTACCCATGAGCTAGTACTTCTCCTTGTTAGTCTTTGTTTGTCGCACACGGTTCCACCATCCAGAAACAGTCATGATGCTTGTGCCCGTTACTGCACCTCTTCCCGTAGCAACAACTAGTTCTGGTCACCTCTCCCCGACCCAATGGCTAGTTTCTAGCAGTTACCTATTCTTCGAGAAACAATTATCTCGCCCCGAAAATAAGGACCAATGACCAAGTGCTGGGAGCACTATAAAAACCATCTCATTTGAGAGGGTAAGGTATTCAATATTCACCTCGATACACACATATTCTGTACTTGCCTTATTTCTCTCGATTCTTACTTTAGTATCAGAGTGTCTTGCAGGTACACCCCCTCATCCTCTCTCACACTCAGCATCACAGACGATTGTCTATGACCCACTTCAGGTTCTGATCGGCCGTCAAGATCAAGTGCCAAGAAGGAATAATTATTTAAAATTAAAAAAGAAACAATTATCATTTATTACTGATACTAATATTTGATTTTACAAATGTAATTTTTGATATATCAAATCCTAACTTATTCTAAATATAAAATAAATCAAACTTTTCATTATTCCTTTTTGTAGGATTAACTCAAAATATACCAACATTCATCATTTGATTTTTACATTTTGGACATTTAGGGTCAGCCTTGACAACCATCACATACATGAGACAAGTAGAACATCCCATGAGAATCATTGATGGTAGCTCATCTTTTGCAGTCCCACCAAGATCAGAATCCAATACTGAAGACACATTTGATGGTAATGAAGCTGAAAATCTTACACCATTTTCTATGTTTTCAGGTTTAATTGTCAAACCGCTCAAGCTTGTGTTTCTTGTCTCCACTGATGCTGGCTCAACCTTTGAATTTCCCAAAAATATAACATGAAGAAAAAAAATACATAATCAAGATAAAATCTATTGTCAGTGATAAAATATCAACGAAAAATACATCATCAATTAAATACAAATCTATTAAATAAATAAAATTTATAGAATAGAACATTGTTTTAAATTGCGACTGCGAACACCGATCAGAATTATTAAAAATAGTTCGGGATTACAAAAGCGGTCTTGACAAAACTGTTTCAGCCGGTGCTGAAAATATTATAACCGTTTTTATATTAAAAAACAAATTGTGGTTAATTCACATCGCAACGACCGCAATCAATGTTACAACATTGTATCGATCGAAGTTGCGAAAGACGCGTCAGCGACCGCAACCAAGATGCATCTATGTGCGAACGCGACACGTCGGCGACCATTTTTCAAAACCCTGACTATGATTGTGGTGATTACAATTACTCCAATTTATATTGTAATCGCTCCAACGTGAATTTTAATTTGAAAGATATCCGAAAAATAAAACTTAATATTTAATATTATGATTTTTCATACGTAAAATGTAAATTGAATTTTAGATTCTAAAATTTTGAAGTTTTATTAGAATACTTGAAAAAATATAGACAAAGTTGTTTGATGTGATTCTCAGTAGAGTTGGACACGTGATTTTAATTTACATTGCAATTGCATTATTGCATTATAATGCAGTTGTAGAGACTACAATATTAGCAGTATTACAACCGTAATTATAGTTGAGGAGATTATGACATCAATAACATTGTGGTCGTAATTATAATTGTGGATCACAATTTAAAACTTTGAAACAAAGTATATATTAAATATATTAAATGGAGTAAATAAAAAAAAAAAAAGAGATAAGTTACCTCAAAGTTATATTCTTCTTGGAGTTCAGCTTGTTTTGGTTGATTAAGATCAATGGCAGAAATTCGTTTCTCCATGTTCATACTTTTTTTTAAAGAATTTATGAGTCACTGTTTTTTTTATCCTAAACTAATATATATATATATATATATATATATATATATATATATATATATATATATATATATATATATAGTTTGGGGTTAAATATAATATAATTATTTTAAATTATGAATTTTTTTATATGGAATATGATACAAATAATTTGCACTTCCAATTTTGAAATGAGAAAAATAATAAATTTTAATATAAAGAATAGTTTAAAGAAAAATGTGAAGCTCATTTATTTTTTTCACATTAAAAGAAAAAAAAAAAGAGGAGGTATAAAAAAAAGGTCTAATATCATATGGTATGAGGTGAACCATATAAATGATAGTCAAGTTCAATATTTAAACTATTTTGGAAAATGAGGTGAATACTCCTTTTTGGAGATAATATATTTAGAAAAGTTGTTATAATAATTTTTTAAAATTGGTGAATGGAAAATAACATTAATAATGATAAATGTAATTGTCATTTTGCATTGATTTTATATGAAGTTTAAACATTATTAATTGATACCATAAAATTAAACTCTTAGGGTGTGTTTGGTTCGGGGTAGATGGAGGGGAGGGGAGGGGAGGGGAGGGGAAATTTTTAATTAAATATGTTTGGTTCAAATTTTAGGAGGGGAGGGGAGGGGAGGGGAGGGGAGCAAAATCCCTCCAAAACACACTTTTTGGTTCCCTCCGAATTGGGGGGATTTGGAGGGGAGGGGAGGGAATATGAGTTTTGATATTTAAAAATTATTATATTTACTAAAATATCCTCAGTTTAATTTTATTATTTCAAAACTATTTGTTATCTTTTGTGTTACTGTTTTTTCTCGATTGTTTTTATCAACTTATTATAATTGTTCTCCACCTTCAAATTATTTTATAACTTTTATAATTAATATAAATCATAATCATTGTCTTTTTTTATAAAAAAAATTATGTTTCGTTATATTCGTTTTTTTTCTTTTAATTTTGTTATGTACTCTATCATATTTTCTTTTATATCAAATTGTAAACCATATCATTTTATTTATTTTTGTTTATTCATTTTATTAAATATTTTGAACCATTAATATTTAGTAATAAGTTATTTTATATATTTGTTTTGTTATATGATTCATCATAATTTAAACGATGTTATTGACATATAGTTTAATTTATGTTAGAAAGTTATAAGTCGAATCGATTGTACTCAATTTTTTAACTTTATGTGACAAATAAATATTTTTTTAATAACTCAATATTAGAAATTTTATTACCAACAAAAATATGCACGAATTTTTCACATTTTAATATCATATGACTTATATAAAATCATAAGGATAAAAATGTAAATTATTAATAAAACCCCTCCCCTCCCCTTCTGAACCAAACACATTTTTAATTAAAATTCCTCCCCTCCCCTCCCCTCCACTCTTTTGAACCAAACACTTATTTGATTAAAAAATTCATTCACCTCCCCTCCCCTCCCCTCCCCTTCATTAAAATCCCTCCCCTCCCCTCCCCCTCATTTGAACCAAACAGACCCTTATGATTGAGATGACAGCTAATAAAAATATTATTATAGAATATTTTCATTAATAAAATAAAATAATAATGTTTGTTCATTTATTTTATTCATTCATGATAAATTTTCTAACATGTCATTGTTATCATTTAATTTCCTTTTTTACAAATTACTCTCCTTTTACATTTTAAATTCAAAATATATTTATTTATTTATTTACTTATTTTAATATTAGCCTAATAATCAATTCATATTCAATTTAATATTTATAAGAGAAAAAACTGATGACTGTAATAAAATATTTTGACAACCATACCACTAAAGTGCAATAGTACAAAAACAAAATCTTAGAAAAAAGTTAAGAATAATACTGATATTATTAATTATTTTATAATGGTTTCATATAACATTTAAAATATTAAATGGAAATTTTTTCATTAAATTCCCTACATGAAAATGAAGTTGTTTTATTAATATCAAATTTTACACACCTCATGTATTTAATTTTTGTTTTTATTAAACCTTATTCATTTCATATCAAACTCTAAAAAATGCATTTAATACCAACTTTAAATTAGAGCATGTGGTTTATGATCTGACCTGATCAGAAGGGGATCACAGTCTGGCTACGCTCTGTTGGGCTGCTACCTGTTCACCTGTGTTGAAATGAGAAGGAGGGTATACCTGCAAGACACTCTGATGCCAAAGTAAGAGATTGGACAGAGTGATTGCAAATACAGAAAGGGTAAGAAGTGAATACCTGACCGTCTTGTGAAAGAGAGTATTTATAGAGAGACCCCAACGCTGGACCAACGGTCATTTGAGTTGGGCTGGATGGCCAGGCCCAACCCAAAGAACTGCTATGGCTTACGTGGCGTAGTGAAGACCAGAACATGGTCTTCACCCTAGTTCAACTGCTCCGTGAACTCCGGAAAGCGGCCCTGCTCTTTCGGAGGTGGACAGTTGGTAAGTGACGTGTCCCCGCGGAGGGGAGCACGTGGAGAACGTGTGAAGGACATGTTTATCCTGCTCGACAGAGGGAAGAGGTTCTGCCCGCAGAGGGCCTCGCGCGTTGGTTGATCACACGTGCCCGACAAGGGTTACGTGCCCCGACAAGGGTTGTGTGCTCGACAAAGGCATTGCGTGTCCGATAGGCCCATCCGTAATGCTTTGGGCCCGTGAGGGGAGACGGGACTGGGCCTGCTCGACCGTTTCGAGGCCCAGTCCAGAACAGAAGCTCCCAAGTTGTAGCTCCAAGGGAAGGAGCGAGGACTTGATGACGTTGAGTCGAAGAGGATGGACCAACACGGGGAGGAATCGCACCGTACCGTGTTTCGTGGGGAAAGTGCACGAAACGTCTCGACATTGGCCGTACGGGGATACCGAATACGTGTCGTTGGGAGAGACGAAGGGACGTGACTGTCAGTCTTCGCCACGTGTCACACGTTGGGTGGCTCGTAGGGCGGCTACCCTAGGGTACTCGAGTACCTAGTGACGCTTCGAGTCCCGAGCTAGGGTATAAAAAGGTGAGTCCTCGTTCATTCTTGCTTTTCGCTTCGCTTGCTTCCATCTACGAGGACCGTTGTTCATCTTCCGTTAGATTCTACCGCCGTAGCCCCGCCGTGAACTCCGCCATCATCATCAATCAAGTAAGTCCTCCTTATCTTTTCTCTTGCTTTTTTTGTAACGGGGGTAGTGGTTTGTTGAATGCCCCGATGAGGGACGCAAATCTCCGCCGTAGCAGGCAGAGTTTTTAGGGTTTTAGATGGGCTCCCCGGGGACAGGTTCTTATTCCGATAAATGCCCCGGGGACAGACGATTAGTTCTGATGAATGCCCCGGGGACGGGCGCTTACTCTGATGAATGCCCCGGGGATGGGCGTTTGTTCTGATGAATTCCCCAGGGACGGGCGTAGTTTAGATAAAGGGTTGTTTTTTCGGGGACGCTGCCCGGGGGCGTCTCTGTCGCCATTTCACTTGATTTGAGGTGGAAGGGTGAATTTGATCTTGGCCATCGAATTCACCGTTACCTTATGCTTTTCAGGTGTTCATGCCGCCGTTTGTACCGGGGACAATGGTCTAGGATGACGAGCCAGATGTGCCCTATTTCGATGATAGAGCCCGTCCTGTCGATGAATGGATAGCCGATGAGTCTCTGACCACGCCCTCTTGTTTTGCTTCTGACCTGGACGGGGTCTACGCTACCGTGGAGGATAGAGAGGAGGGCGAGCCTCAGAACTGGCAAGTTTACCGCCCTAAGGAACGTCACCGGATTTGTTCGAAGTTCGGGAGAATGCGATTCCCGATGTATGAGTTTTATTTCAAAGAGGCTAGGCTCAAGTTGCCGTTCTTGGACTTCCATCTGGACCTCTTCGACTGGCTGCGGTTGGCGCCCTCTCAGCTGCATCTGAATGCCCTGGCCTTTATTTGGGCTTTCGAGATCGTGTGTAACTTCCTCGAGATTGGGGCCATGCTGCCACTGTTTTTTCACCTCTTCCATCTACAACGGCAGACGGTGCACGGGAGGCATGGCTGAGTTTCGTTCAAGCAGTCGGAAAAACTCTTCAAAACTTATATGGATTCTGTCCAGGACTTCAAAGGGCGTTTCTTCATCGTCAGCCCGATCACCCATGCCGCGGTCAATTCCTTGTACTCCGAAGGGGAGCGCATAATGGATGGTCAGCGGGAAGCCGTTATGCTACCGAGGGTGCACATGGAGTGGTCCGCTGAGCACTATTTTAGGGGAACCGACCGGTACATAATGCAACCGGGGACACTTAACGACGAGGATATGGCCGCCTATTTGAAGGTAGTCAAATTTGTCAAAGGCTACCTCCGTATAAGCTCGTAACGCCCGACGGTCGTTATCTTCGGGACAACGAGGGAAATATCCGGACGAAGAAGAGGCTGATAAATACGAAGGCCTTGCTCGAGTGTTCCTCGGAGCTTGATGCGCTAGACCCTCTAGGTGGTGGTCGCTTTCCTTCTTTTCTTGTCTTGTCGTTTTCTTCTGCTGCTAACATTTTCTTTTCATATTTCAGGGAGCATGTCTACTGTCGAGGAGAGGGTGAAACAGCTGCACTCTAAGGGCGTTCCCGCGAAGAGTCGGATCAGGCAGGTAGCTGGCTAGGCCTCCGGCGATCAAGGTGGTAAGGGCTCCCCTTCAACTGGCTGTAGCAGCCAGTCTTCCCCGTCTCAGCCGGGTGCGAAGAGACCGAGGGTTCAGCAGCCGGAGACCGTGGTGGACTTGACGGCTGGCGTGGTCGAGGAGGGCTTCGTGATGTCGCAGTGTCACCAGCAACCCGGCTACTTCCGCGGGGCCAGGTCGCCTACCATTCCTGCTGGGGAAGCCAAGCTGGTTCTAAGCACGGATCGTGCCGCTCGCCGACAGGTGCTGATGGAGGATTTTCCCACCCTGATGCGCACCTTCATTACGGCGCTGGTCCTAAGAGATGAGAGCTATTCTGCGGCCGAGTTGTCTA